CGGAAGCTTTTTAGTTTGACATGGCTCCACTCGTTTATTTTTGCTTTTGGTCTTAAATCCAAAAAATTATTGCCATGACCAATGTCAAGGAACTTACCCCCTATGTTTTTTTTCTAGGAGTTTTATGGTTGCAGGTCTTATGTTCAAGTCTTTTAACTTAGTTGGAATTAATTTTTGTGTATGGTATAAGAGAGGGGTCCAGTTTCATTCTTTCATATATAGCTATCCAGGTTTCCCAGCACCATTTATTGAAGAGATTGTCTCTTCCCCATTGTATGTCCCTGGCTCCTTTGTTGTAAATTAATTGACTATATATGCTTGGGTTTTTTTCTAGGCTCTCTATTCTGTTCCATTGGTCTATGTGTCTGTTTTTATGGCAATACCATACTGTTTCGATTCTGTAGCTTCATAATATAGTTTGATCCCCAGCGTTGTTCTTCTTTCTCAAGATTGCTTTGGGTCTGAATACAAATTTAGTGGTTCCATACAAATTTTAGGATAGTTTTTTCTATTTCTGTGAAAAATGCCATTTGACTTTTGATAGAATCTGTAGATTGCTTGAGGTAGTATGGACATTTCATCAGTATTAATTCTTCCAAGCCATTAGCACAGAACATCTTTCCATATATCTGTCTTTGCTTTCTTTCTTCAATGTATTATAGTTTTCAGTGTACAGATCTTTCACCTCTTTGGTTAAATTTATTCCTAGGTATTTTATTATTTTTGGTACAATTGTAAATGAGATTGTTTTCTTAATTTCTCTTTCCGATAGTTTATCATTAGTGCATAGAAATGCAATTGATTTTTTTGTGTATTGATTTTTGTATCCTGCAACTTTACTGAATTTGTTTATTAGATCAAACCGTTTTTTTTGGTGTTGTCTTTAGGGTTTTCTGTATATAAGAACATGTCACCTGCAAATAGAGACCATTTTACTTCCATTCTGATTTGGATGTCTTTTATTTCTTTATCTTACCTAATTGCTCTGTCTGGGACTTCCAATACTGTGCCGAATTACAGTGGTGAGAGCGAGCATGCTTTTCTTGTTCCTGATCTTAGAGGAAAAACGTTCAGTTTTTCACCATTGCATATGATAAGTACCACTGACTTTGAGGCTTGTGTTTCATTACAGTTTTAATCTAAACTGAATCAAACTTTTGGCACTTATAGCAGTGTTATTCCTTGGTTTATTGGAAGGGAACTGGAGCTAGATAGCATTTCAGAGTTGTTCCCAGCTAAATGTCTGGGATTCTAGCTCTGTCTTTGTTCTCTCCATCTCTTCATAACTGCAGAGGTAAATAAAAAATGTTTTACAAGCTTGTTTCGGGATATGAATCAGAGAATCCTTGGACTTTAGTACATGGAGGCCTCCTAGAGGTCACCCGTGTCAGCCTCTTCACCCCCAGAATCCTCAGCCGCTGGCTGCCCACACTTGTCCACCAGGAGGGCAGAAGGGTTCATTCTGTACTGACACTTGATGCTGCCAGCCTCCCACTGAACCATCTGGCAGCTTTCTAAAAGATATTTTACGGGCAAGAAGTTCCTGCCCATTGATGCCGGAAGTGATAACATCTAGAGAGGACCTGGTGCCCCATGCTTTGTCACAACTGAGTCATGGACTGGACCGCAGTGAATACAGAGTTTTATCAAATCTCTGTAGGTGAGTGTGCTGCCAGCCTGAAAAAGGCCTCAATGGGCAAAATGCCATGATTTGTGGCACGCACGAGTCCTCCCATTCGTGTCTCCATCCAGAGCAAAAATTCCATTTGTAGAATTGATAACAGAAAATTCAGCTTTCAGAAAGTATAAGTGGCCCTGGCAACCTGCACTTTCAGGTGTGCCTGGTTCACATTGCCCAGCTGTGATTCTCAGGCCCTTGTGAGCACTTTTTTTTTTTTTTTGCCTTTAAAAATGTGACTTTTCCCACATGAACCTTCATGGTATACCACGTGCATTCGTAGTTTTTCAGCCCTGCCCATTTAAGCCTCTTGTGCTTTCCTTGACATTTTAAGAAACTTTTAATTGACATAGTTTGCTGGCAAAATAAAAAGAATCAGCTATATTTTAAAAGTGGCTTTGTGGTGAGTAAATCATGCCAACTGCATGTTCTCAATTTTTGTTGTTGAGGTACTGATAGTTGCTTGCTCTTGACATTCTAAAATAAGAATGCCAGTTACAGATGTAGCTGCTTCTAAAACTTAAGAGCAAAGCAGTGATGTTGGATGGAACACAGCTTCTCCCCAAATGTCAGAAAAAAATCACCGAAGAGTACATAAAAGTGAAAATCCTGGCTTCGATGAATTAGTCTGGTCGGTCTGGTGCTGAGAAATGCTCAGCCACCTTGAGCTGGGAAAAACCTCAAAGGGGAGAGTGGTAAGAACATGTAGTTCACAAATGAAGAAAAGAAATCTTAATATTTCAGGGATTTAAAAATACTAAATCTGTAGGTGATCTGTTTCGAATCCTTTTTAGAGAGAAACAATAGGTAAATAATTTGTGCTGAATATTTAAACACATGTAAAATAGGAATCAAAGGTCTTGTTGGTAGAACATGCACAGTCAGTGTGAGCTGATGGATGCTGCTCTGCCGTTTGTCACTGCTGAATTATACCTGAGCAAACCAGCACTGACGTTTCTTAAACATATAATTATGACTGTATGCGCTTTGATTGCTAGATCCGAAAAGTGCTGGTACTATCATCAGATGGCTGGATATGAGAACAATTTTTTAGAATAATTGTGTGTGTTGTCAAGTCTTCTCTGAGTGTGGGCTGTTGCTGACAACACCTTGCTCCCTTGTTCCTAACAGAACTCCGATTCTATTGAGGCCTCCAACCTGCATGGGCCTCTGCCAGGAGGTGAATCCCAGTTGATTTTACCTGATTGTCGGGGCCCGTTCCCAGTGCTGGTGATTGGTTTGGGTATGGGCCTATGACACAGCTCTGGCTGTTAGACTTAGGGGAAGTCCACTGGAGGGTTTCTGGAAAGCCTTCCTTGCTTCCAGTAGAAATGTGTAGCATCATCCCTACTGCCTTTGCAGACTGCCAAATGTGACCATGAGGGCTGCGAGTATGGCCACAGTCTTATGATCCTTGAGGGAAGCCATCCCAGGGATGGGACAAACCATCCAGGTGGCTGAGAGCCAAGAGATGGAATGATCCTAACTTTCTAATGATGTCTTTGATTTGCTGAATTAACTGATCCTGGAGCTGCTGTTCCTAATCCTATGACTCATTATATGAGATTATTGATGCGGCCCTTTGCATTAGCTAGTATTTTCTTGCCTGAAGCCAAGCCATTGTCATAGGTGCATAAATTATTTAAGATAAAACAAAAAGCAAAACTCAAAAAGAACAAAGGTTACTATGACTACATCTCATTTATATCAAATCTAAGAGTGACATACAGCCTGGTCAGTGATGAGACCTTCCTGCCTGATGCAAATCATCATGAATTTGTATGCGCTTATTCATCACTACCTTAGACGGGCCCTCCAAGAAGAGGACCAGTGTCTTCTACTGCTAGTGGCAAGTTCTAGGAAGGATATCGGTCTGGCTGCTTTAACAGAGGTGATAACAATGACTTAAAAAGGTCGTGAGATTGATTTTTCTCTTCTGAAACAATTTGAGCTGGTAGGCATTGAGATGGGTGGCCTGCTCCATGGGGTCATCCAGGGTTCTTCTATCGTCCACTAGGATGTCTCCATGTGCATTAAGGAAGCTGGCTCACCACCATACCAGTGATTCAGAGCATGAGAAGTGAGAAAGAAGGAAGTTCAGAGTGGGACTGCGCATGTTACTTCCATTCACAGCTCACTGGCCAGAACTTGATCATATGACAATAACTACTTGCATGGGAAATATTATCTCTAGTGGGGTGACCATGTGTCCAGCTAAAACCTAGAGGATTCTGTTAGGAAGAAGGAGAAGAGTACACATTGGTAGATACTTAAAAGCGTCTGCCACATGGTGTGTCCTCTGCAATCAAGAGGAGTAATGTGACAAAGACAGAGTGCCGGGTGCCACTCTCTGATTGTGAAACAAGGGATTGAACCACAAGGACCGGGTTCCCTGAGGAGCCACAAGCCTTGTGCTACTTATGACCTGTCCTGGCCTCTCTTCTGGTCAACTAAGGAACTCAGACCAAGTGGGGTTTTGAAACCTCTCCAGACTCCGACTTTCTCTGGCATGGTTCCATGGGCGTTCTATTTCTAGAGTTGAGGCAGAAACAGGGGCAAGCCAGGTGAGTATTTCACATGTGGATGGTGGGAATTAAAACCATAAGAGAAGTATTGCTTACTTTTATTGAGCATTTATTAGGGGCCAGGTACTGTGCTGTGTGTGTCTCTTACGCATATTAACCCATAACCCTGGGTACAGTCTTACTTAGTGCTATTTCTTTGGTTCATTCTGTTTTCCTAAAGTACAGTTCTAAATGCACCAGCTCCAATCTGCTCTTCAAGACTGAGCTCTGGCTGAGCTTCCTCGAGGAAACCTACCCACTCTCTGGGTCTGGGTGGGTCTCTTCCTCTCCGCACCCCACTTTCCTCAGTGGCACTGGGTCCATAGAGCCTAATGGCCTATTTATATTTTTACTCATAGCTCCACCGACCAGACTGTGAGCATCCATTTTTCCTTTTTCACACCTTTTTCTTTAACTTTTAATTTCAAACATACACAAAAGCAGAGAGGGTGGTATAACACACCCTCAAGGCTCCGATACCCAACTTCAGCAGTTGTCAACATTTTTGCCAGTCTTGTTCCATTCATACCTCCTCAACCCGTCCCCAGTATTTTAAAGCAATTCCTAGATTTGATGTTATTTTTTTTCCCACAAATACTTTCATATATTTCAGAGTGATCTTCAAGATGGCTGAAATTGTGTTCTGTATCCTGTATCCTCAGCACTTTAGATGGTGCCCAACACATATTGGCTCTTGGGAAATATGTTGTTTTGAATCAACTGATTGACTAGATGAACGAATTGGTTTCTACCTTTAGAACTGAGCCTGCAAATTAGCTGAAATGTGAATAACTGCAGGGAGTTCCCAGCCTCCTTCCTGCCTGTCCTACTGCCTGGGGTTTCTAGGAGGTTCTGGACTCGGTCATTCGTCACACTTTAAGGTTGGTTTATACTTAGTCAAGCATATTTGATTTTGCAATTAAACTCTACTTTGAGATGACCTTGGACAGGAAGGGCTATTAAGATATAGCTTTTACCTTTACTTGATTCATATTTAGTTCACAATTATAGATTCGGGGTTTTTATTTTTAATTATAATACTGTATTTACTTAGGCCAAAATGATTAGGACCAAAAATATATATATATCTGTATATACAATACATCTGAAGCATTTTTTCTTTAATACCATCTTTCTATTCCTGGTAATGGTATTTTAACTGCACAAACGAGAGATAATTGAATGCACATTTTTCCTTCAAGCAGTTGTGGCTTTATTTTAAACCCTAAATTCTGTACACATTGACGGGGACCCTGGCACCAGAGTCACTAAATGTGTGTCCTGGGCATTTCCAGCTCTTACGAGGTGAAAATCAGGCCAGGGCTTGGGTTTTGCAAGTCTCTGGTGGTAGAACGGTAGCTTATGACATGCCTTTGATGTGTTCCTTTTTCCTTTTAATCCAGAAATGTATTTACTATTAACTAGTAAATTAACAAGATAACTAGGTATTAACTAGTACTTTTTTCAAAATTATATTCTTAAATGTTTTCACTGTTCAAATCTATTATAAAGTTGAATTACAGTTGGCTGTATTTTTTGTTTGTTTTATTGTTTGCTGTTTCATGGAGAATTCAGAGTAATAATTTTATTTCTGGATTTAAGATATTTTTACTGTGTGGGTTTAGCACAGGGGACTAAGGCTGTGCCCAGCAGACATCTGGTGACTAGCCACTGTTATAAGTTCAGCCTGGAACATAAAACAGTTATTTCCACCGAAGTATTTATAGGAATTAGATTTGGTCACGATGCCATATTGAGCCTAGAGAGCATCTTTCCCATGGAAAGCGATGGGACCTGAGATATATTTGAGGATTAGATATGGGAGCCATACCGAAGCAGGTCCTGAATCCACAGCATCTCATCCTGCTGAGGTGGCACTAAATCTTCCCAGGGACTTTATTTTCTGGGCTGCAATTGAGCAGGCCGTGTGATTTCTGCTGTGGGCCCAGAGACCTAGCTGCCACTTTGCACGACCTGGACAAGTCTGATGGCATGTCTGGAGAAACTGCAGCAGACCCCAGGAGTGTGGGTGCAGACTCTCCGTGGATAGGACATGGGGAAGATGGCTGGAAGGGACCCACAGACTGTGCGACTTCTTGAGTGGCTTCATGAGCCTCCTCCCGAGAGATGGAAAAAGAGAAAAAGGGGTCACTGGAGAATGAGGATGGAGCTTGTGCCACAGAGATGGAGATGGCCTATTAGCTGGTAATCTCGTCTAGTTAGGACAGGGCCCAACAGAAGCTGACATGGATGTTCCAGACTGGAAACCCTGCGGCGAGGCGAGAACACCACAGCTGAGTCAGCCCCGAGGAAGTCTCGCCAAGAATGGGCTGCAAACGTGGCCGCCTGCCCTGATGCTTGGGGCTGGGCTGTCCTGTAGGGAAGTGGCCAGGATTCGGACGAGGAACCACAGCATGGGGAGGAGCTCAGGGCAAAGGGCGAATCTCTGTGTTGGCTCCTCTAGAGCCAGAGCGTCCAACACAGCATGGACCACCTCTGCACCACTGCTCTGCAAATAACGATGGTCGCTCTTCCTTCATGCTCCTTCATGCTCTTTCATACTCTTAGCCCCTATGTTATTTAAAGATCGGATCATGGACTCAGAAGTAAAGTCAGTTCGTTGTCAGGAAGGCACAGAAAACAAGTGGCAAGCAGGCAATTGTCATAGATCTGCCTGTCTCTGTTCTACTACCTCATGGCTCATCTCAGTCTCTTTCACCAGGGATATGTCTCCAGTGAAGACCCTCCCCAAGGCAGAACCTTGCACCGATTCCCACATTGGACATGCACACACATTGGAGTCCTAGCTCCAGCTGCAAACACAAACATCTTCAAATCTATGTGAATTTTGAATTATGTCGTCATTATTTAGCCATTTTTTTAAAAATTAAAAACAAAGCATGACCATCCTCTCCAAGTTTTCTAGGAAAATAGGCTCCAGAAGAAGGCATGTGTTTATCCCAGTGCTTAGTGTCGTCATCGTCCCCACCCCATCCCAGGCTGTGTGCACACTCCCAGGGCTGTGATCACACCAGGCTGGTTCCTAGGACAAGTGGAGGTAATGAGACTCTGACCATTACCTCGCATTTGGTGGCTGCCAAAGGAGACTCAGGAGTGAGAGTATGCAGAGACTTGGTATCAAGGAGAAAGGGTTGAGGCCTGTGTCATCAGATGAAAAGCATCAGATAAGCAGCGATGTCAGTAGCCTAAAAACTAAAAGTGGTAAAGCAGTCACATGATCCCAGCCATCTGGTTAACCTAACAGATCCTAAGTATTTTAAATCTAGAACTAAATATAGCTTCCTTTCCAAAAAGTACTCAGCACGTTGAAGAATGTAGACAAGATGGAGCTCTGCCTGTGGTGCCTGCAGATGAGGATATAGAGACCCTGGCTTAGAAATTCCTAATAAAGATGCAAGACATTTCCTCTTTGTGGTATCAGTTCTCTTTCGCTTTGTATCACGCTCCCAAAACTCAGTGGCTTAAAACAGCAACCATTGTATTTGCTTGTGATCTGTGGATTGGCCGTACAGTTCTTTTAGTCTGGGCTGACTCTCCTGATATCCATCTACTGGTGGTGAGGCTAGGCTGGATGGTCTGTGATATTCAAAAGAATATCTCCTGTATGCTGGTTGTTTATAGAGAACCTCAGCCTTGGCTCCATGTGGTCTTATCCTCCAGCAACTGGCCGAGCATCTTCACATGGTGTTCCAGAAGCAGCAAAGGAGGACAAGCCCCAATGCATAAGGACTTTCTGGCCTCTGCTTGGCTCTCGCTTGCTATTTATTGTCCCATTAGCCAAAGCCAATACCTATTCCAAGCTTAGAGTGCATGAGAGAGAAGACTATACGAGGCCATCCATACAGAAAGGCATGAACAAACTGGGGCCATCACTTCAATAAATCTTCCATGCTATAAGCCTGAGGTTTAACTCAGGAAGTAGATTGTTTCTGCCTAATGCTCACATGAAACTAACTGAAACATCCTGTGGTTCATCCTCATGAGAAGGCAGTGTCAGGTAAAACCATAGACTTAGTAGTCCTAATAGCCTAATAGCCTCACCTGCCAGTAAGTGTGGTGGAATAGCCCGCTAGTAGCTGGAGGCACAAGTGGTTGAGAGGCCAAACCTGGCCTGGTACCGGAAAAAAGGCCCTAACCTCCCACACCCAAGCACGGACCAAGAGGCAGGTCTGGTCTCTGAGGTGCTAGAGCAGGTGACACCACTGGGCTGCAAAAGCAGGGACAGGTGATTTCCCAGGGCCAGGGTGAGAGGCTGAAGACAGCATTGGAGCCAGAGCTACTATAGAGGCAGGGATGTGAACAAGAACACATGAAGGTTCAGTGTTCACATACCTGAAAGAACCAACAAACAGGTTAAGAAACTATTCCTGTTTCCCGGAAGGAGAGAAGCAGCAGCAGCAAAGTGAACTGACAGAAGACGAGTAGGTAATAAAGCTTGTACAGCCATTTTCTTTTGAATATCTCCTGTATGCTGGGGATTGTGCTTGGCCTTTAGTTTAGTGCTCACAACATCCTGAGAAGAAGTGAAGTTAGGTCCATTTACAGATGAGGAAACTGAGTCTCAGAGAGGTTAAGTAATTTGGCCTATGTCACTGAATTCAATGTGCCGACCCAGGTCTGTCTGACTCCACAGTGCGGTGCTTCTTTCTGTGCACTGTGATAACGTGGTCCAAAAAAAAAAACGTCTTTCAGTGGCAAGGCCTGCAGAACCCTCTGAACAGTAGGACTCTGAAAGACCCCAAAGTTACGCTTGACTATGTTCTTGTAATGCAAAAGAAGACCTTAGAAAAATGGCACAGCCCCAAAAGAAGGTGGTAAAATAACAGACAAGTTATTCAGAGAAAGACCTGAAGAAAAGTCTCAGCACATTTATTGTTGGGGGTACAGGAATTCCCAAAAGGAGACATTTGCTCTGAACCATACCCCCATTCTGTGATCTAATGTGCACCCACACACTGCTCTCATCTTCCCCAAACTGAAAGGGTCACCTTACAAGAAAGTCATTGATAAGGTCAGAAATGACAGATGATGAGAGGGTTCTGAAACCCATAGGCTATTTAGTCAGGAGCTGCCAGCCATCTTCAAGTATCTGAGAAGCTGGCGCAAGCCAGAAGTTAAATTGTTCTGTCTTGTTCCACAGGTTGCAACTAGAATCAGTGTGCGGGCACATGGGGGAGACAGTCTAACTCATAAGAAAAGAACTTTAGAGGCACAGAGATCTTCTTTTGTATCTTGTCACCACCACTTAGTAACCCATTAATCTTTTAGCAAATGTTCTCTTTTCGTAGGAAATCTGACACATTCCTTAAAGCAGGGGTCCCCAACCCCTAGGCCGTGGACCTGTTAGGAACCAGGCCACACAGCAGGAGGCGAGCGGCAGAGAAGCAAGTGAAGCTTCATCTGTATTGCTCCCCAGCGCTAGCATCACCGCCTCAGCTCCACCTCAGATCATCAGGCATTAGATTCTCATAGGAGCACCGGTCCCTGGTGCCAAAAAGGTTGGGGACCGCTGCCTTAAAGGAGTAGTTCTCAGACTCCCCTGCAAGGCCCTGGGATTGGGGGTGGAGACCTAGGGGCTGCAGGATCCTGGCTCCTGCTTCATGCCCTGCAGATATACTTTTAAAAAAAAACAACCTTATTGAGATATAATTCACATACATTACAATTCAGCCAAAGGGTACAATTCAGTCGCTTTTAGAATATTCACAGTTATACTTCCCTCACCACATCAGCAGACAAGCTTTTATCTAAGTAGCACATTTTCTTTATCGGAGCTCTGAAGGAGATTGTATTTGAAGGAGGAAAAGATTCTGCCTCTAAAATTAGGTTGAAAATGACTGTTTTAATCTTACTGTAGTTGAGAACCCTCTTCTGAAGAGAGTATGATTTTCAAGTTCTATTTCAAATGCCAACAAGAACTAGGAAATAAACTTGATCTCTAACAGTGATGGGGTGAAACCTATAGCCAACATTCACTTTTTTCACAGAAGGGTCATTTAGGGTCTCACTCAGCATTTTTAAAATGTCCTTTTGCACAGAGCAAATTAGAATGTGTGGGTGGGGCTGCAGGAAGACCCAGGGATGCAGCTGAAATAGCTCAATGGTCAGGATGGGGGAGGTCTCTAATTAGCAGAGGGGGCTACTTAGTGTAGGAACAAATCCGCTGGCACACCCAGCTGTCCCTTAAAGCATTACTGTGAGACACTGTGGTAGTGATCAACATCGAGGCTCATAATGATAAAAATAAGGGAGGCCAGAGTCATCTTAACAAAATGTTTTTCAAAAAAGGTTGAAAATTTAGAAGTCAGGGGTCAGGATGGAGTGAGCGTGAGCGGTCCGTGTAAAGACTTTATTGTCTGGCACCCTGTAAGTGCTCAATAAACTTCCTTTACATTTTTTCTTTGGAAAGATCTTGCTGTAAAGCATCCCATTCCCTGTCGATTTCAGATAAATGAACCATTCGTGAATGGGTTTCCTCTTATTAATTTGAAGGACGCATTTTTGGCAAGCCTCGTTTGGGGGCAAAGACATAACCCACAGCACACTATTGTTCTCCCACTAGAATTCACGCTTCCCTGCCAGAGGCCTGGGCTAATTGGATTATTTTCAGTTGACAAACGTGGTTTTCCACCTCGGAACACATGTGTATTGCCTCTGCTTTATTCACAGGACATGTTCCCGATTTGAGGTGAAACCATGAAGAGAAGATAGAACAAATAATAATGCTTTTCCGCAATCGCTTCTTGCTGCTGCTGGCCCTGGCTGCGCTGCTGGCCTTCTTGAGCCTCAGCCTGCAGTTCTGTGAGTATCCAGGGTGTTGCCTGGTGGTGGGAAGGAAGGGGGCTTCGCTCTGAAATAGAAGGCCCTCTAGGCAAACAAGTAGGCCCAAAGCCTTTTACAAATGAACAATGATGTTTAAAAGGAGTCTTTTCATTATTAGTCTAATGGTGGATGGTTGGGAGTAGGAATCCTAAACCCCTGAGCCTTGTTCTGGGTGTCATTCTTGGCCGTGAGGAATGAGAGCGCTCACTATGCCTTGTGACATGTTTTTGGCTTCTGCACAGGTTCCCAAACTGCCTGGTTATTCCCAGATTCTTAGATTCCCGAGGCAAGACCCTGAGTGGCCCAGTTTGTTTTCTCACCATGCCAAGCCACACAGAGCAGAGATGTTTGGCCCACTGGCTGGTTCTTTGAAGGCTGGGTGTCTATTTTCTGTTCAGGGAGCAGTGCGGCTGGAGTTGTTAGGGAGGGTGGGGGATTTGGTTGCCAATACCAAACTCACCCCACTGGGCAGCAGGGACTGCATGGTAAGGCAGGAGCACAGCAGATGAAGCCAGGCCACCAGCCTCACTGCCCAGCACCTTCCCTTTTCACTGGGAACCTGTGTTCAGGCTCGACCCCAAATCTGTGCACCCACCCAACTGCTCCCCCGAGAGTAGCCATCCTCAAACACAGATCCGGCCCTGGCACGTCCTTGGTTGTAACCCTTTAGCAGTAGCCCACGGTCTCAGAGGCCCTTTGCCCTCCTGTGGCCTCTCTCTCACCTTGGACTCAATGAGCCAGTGTTGCCGAGTTGCTTGGCATTCTCATGTCCAGCTGTTCCCTGTGCCCGGATTCCCCCAGCCTCTCCGCCCGGAGTGCTCTCCTCCTCACCTCCTTCCATTCTTCTCCAGCAAAATGGTTGGCTCAACCTTTTTCTCCCCCAGAAACCCTCCATGACCCCTCGACTGAGGCCGATGCTTCTTTGCTATACATCCAGAATGTCCTGAACCTGTTCCCCTCCTTACACTAACCATGCGGCACCATCATTTTCAGCTCTTATCTTTTTTTCCTGCAAGACCGCCTGCTCTCTGAGAGCAGGGACCATGTCCTGTTTCCTTTTATAGGCAAGAAGCTGCACTTCCAACCACACAGTGGGTGTTTCATGAATGTTTGTTAAATGAATGAACGAATCTATGCCAGCTCTGAGAAGCAGGCTGACCCCGATTCCCTTTCCTTCTGGTGCTGTTTCACTTGATGCTGAGAAAATGCCTGTGCGGATGCTAGAGTTGCGTTTGGCTGTTGCCTGCCTTCCCTCCATTTTACCTCCTTGCCCTCATGGGCGGGGGACAGGTGGTTGGCACCCATCACTGCCTAGGACGGCTCTTTGAGGAGGTGGTGTTTCTGCCGCAGTTTGGATGATGGAAAGACAAGCAGGTGGCTCGGCGAGTGGGATGTTCTGAGTGCGCTGAGGAACGTGGGAAAGACTTGGCATTTGGAATAAGTGGTTGGAAGAGAGGTGGCTTTAAGTAAGTTTCCCTGATTTACCTCCAATTTGTGACAGATTCCGTGCACACATCTGGCTCATATGACAGGCTACTTCTAATAGTAAAAAGAATTTGAAATACTCATTTTATCTTTCCAGAATAGGAAAAGAGGTCAAGAAAAGGTAGGCCTAGAAAGTTTAAAGATACTTCAGATGGTTAATGAACTATAAAATATGAATCCTTTCCAAAAAATGCGTTAGGACTCTCAGTCGCTTAATCGTTTATAACTTTTTATTAAAAATTTTCCATCCTTTGGCTGGAGAGGTAGGAGGTTACAATCAACCTTGGTTTTTTTTTTTTCGGAGAGGCTGACAGGATCTGAGACGTGAATGGGGGTTACTTGTGTTTGCTGCGTTTCTTTTGCATGAGGTGGTTTCCACATTACTGAATTGGCCTGTGTGTTTTGCTTATATAACTCTTGTGAAAGTCCCTTCTGTTTTAGGGGAGCCAATTTTCAGCCATACTTTTTTAAAGGAAAATTTTGCACGTTAAATTAGCCTGCCTGGGTCTGAGCTCTTTCTTCTTGAATACGTCGGAGTTCGGAAAGATATTAAGCTATGGATGCTCTCACCGATCTTCTACTGTTTTTTTTGTAACTTTGGGGTTTACCCATTTCTGTGGAAATGGAGTTTAATTGCTTTATTCATTTAATTGCTTTATTGGTTGCTTAAGTATTACGGTGTTAGTAACTTCACTAATTCATAGTACAAAGGTATATGCTTAAATAACACTCATAACTTACCCTGAAATATGTGGACTTTTCCTTTACCATTTCTTTTGACTAATTTCTGAGTAGTGAATTAGCACATATTATTTTAGGCATTTATATTTGAGGCAATCAAATATAACTGGGTTTTCTCATGTTTAAGTAAACGGTATAGTTTTGCTTTCTGCGGTGATTGTACATATTTTTTTTTGTCTTGTTGGTAATTTTCTTTTCCTGATGTTTTGAACGTGAGAAAGTTATGACTCAGGTTACAGTTTTAAAAATCCTCTCGTTACAGCAAGTACGTCTGTGAACCGACATATATTTAAGTGCTTGTGGGGGGGGGTCATTTTTCTATACTGTTGGGTTAGAAGTGGTAAAGGAAGGGTACAAAAAAGAGTAAGATACAGTTCATAGTTTTTCAAAATGCGTTTATTTTAAATGGAACTAATGACTTGCTATATGCTAACAACCTTTAATGAAAATAATTTCTTTTGTATTTTCAAGTCTTTCATGTTTTTGAGTTTTAAAATAGGGACGTTCTAAAATTCCTGATACTCATCCTGTAGAAGGGAACAAGTAAATGTCTTTAGTTATTCCAGTGAAAACGAAGACAAGTAGAAAAATAACAACTCAAATCAGGAGACTCCTCTGGTGCCACAGGGAAAGACCATGAGGATGTGAAGATTTGTGAATAATTAGTTGCTTCTCCTTTTTCTGCTCATTTGTAATCACCCATTTCCTGCGTCAGCCCAGTCTCTCCTTAGCGCTTGCTTATTTTATGCTCATTTCACTGTGTTCCAACCGCATCCCCAAAATGGCAGTGGGACAGGAGCAGGCAGGCTCTGGCCTCACGGCCCTGGATTTGAATGGTGCTTGCCACTTAGCATCCCTGCGAGTTCGACCTCCCGGAGTCTCTATTTCTTCTTCGGTAAAATGGTGTTAATTATTGTTGTAATAATTGTTGTTGCTTTGCAAGTTGGTGTGAGAACAGAGACCTTGTGGGAAAACCCTTGATTTGAGGAAGCATAGTCAACATAAACCTTTTACGCAACAGTGGAGTGTCCCATCACAATGCACCACCCTCAGAAACCAGGGCTCTTGGTGTTTCAAAGGCTGTGAGACTTATATTACTTAAGCCATGTGTGTGTGTCTTTGGGGGGTGGTGGTAGGAGGGCTTTTGAAATATATCATACATTTATTTGATTTCGATCAGAGTTCATCAGCCATGGTAGGGGTCAGTCTGCACTGGACACATGGCACCTATATCTGGGGGGTCACCTTCATGGGCAGGGCCCAGATGACCAAAGCAGGTTCTAAGGGAAATGCCAAAGATGGACTGGAGATTCAGATCCCCCGGCGGAAGAGAGCAGGGTTACCCTGCAGACATGAAAGCCAGGGTCAGCTTCAGTATCTGAAGAGCCCTTTATGCAGGAGGGGTCGGGCCTGTTCAGTGTGACCATGGAGACACACTTCAGTTAAATGTCAGGTGGAGCTTTCCGAAAGTCAGCGTCATGCAGAGGTGGAATGGGTGACGTGCCAGCTCTGGAGCATCGCTCTATGAAGAGTAGACTCTTAGGCAGGTCATTGTACCTGATCTCATTTAAAGTCTCTTCAAACTCTGAAGTTTCATGAATTTTATGGTTTTTGTTGATCCAGTGTCATGAGTATGCACAACTTTGTCCTTCAGCAAACGTTCCTTGAGTTTCTGCTGTTTGCTAGGCCCTGGGCCGGGAGTTTAACCTCTCCAGGGCCACAGGACCTCTGTGTCTAGTGGAAGGAAGTCAGGAGCAGACACTCAGAACACAGTGTGCAACGTACTAGGACAAGTAAGAGGTGGCAGCATGGGGACACGGAAGGAACATGGACTCTGTAGCCGACTGCCTGGATCGAATCCCTATCCTCTATTTACCAGCTGTGTGACCTCCGGCACATTATTTCCCCTCCTTATTCCTCAGTTTCCTCATCTGTAAAATGGGGATAACTAGAGTTCCTATTTCATAGCGTTGGTAAAGGATTAAATAAGCTGATATTTATAAAACACCTAGAATAGCGCCTGCCACACAGTAATCACTAGTACGCATGTTTATTAAACAAAATGAATTAGAGATAATTTGTGGCAGTGTGATATGACAGGATAGAGGACAAGAAGCTAATATAGCCTGGGAGATCAGGGAAGACTTCTAGAAGAAGTGACATCTGAGCTTCATCCATGAGAGGTGATTGGGAGTTGGCCAAGGAGGACGCTGGGAAGGGTGTTCCTGGCTGACAGAGGTAGGACTGCAAAGGCAGAGCTAGAGAGAGAAGGACCAAGGTAGACACCTATGTGTAGGTGTAAAAGTGAACAAAGGCCAGGGCCACCTCCATCATCACATCATATCTTGAAGGCGCAGAGAGCCACCGAAGTAGAGAAGACACCATCAGATTTGTGTCTTGGAAAGACCACACACAGTCCAGTACAGCGTTTGCCAAAGTGTGGTCTCCTTAGCATCATAATCAAAATGGCCTACGGAGCTTGTTCCAAAAATAGAAAGAGCACATTTTGTGTCCCTCACTGTAGACTCAGAATCTTGGTGGGGATGGGACCCAGAAAGCTGCATTTTTGACAAGCTCCCTAGGTGAGTCTCATGAATGCAAATTTGGGCACTACCTATTCAGAGGCTGGGGGAGGGCGTGATGCTGGAGGCAGCTCGGGGGCACGTAGGAGTCTAGCTCAAGTAGTTCAGCCGATGCTTCCTTCACCCATCCATTCACGCATTCAGTCACATAAACGTCTCATCTCCACCTGG